AGTTTCTAGGCATAAGAAAGGCTAAAACCTTTTGTACTCTGCCTTAGTCAGACCATGTCTTCGGTATTGTGTTCACTTCTGAACATCCCATGGATAAGCTGAATAACATCTGACGTAGTATAGCCAGGATGGTAGAGCATTTCAAGTTTATATCATGTGAGAATTGGATGAAGGAGCTTGAGTTGTTTAGCCCAATAAAGAGAAAACCCCAGGGCCTATGACAGCTATATAAAAAGTATGTACAGGATTCTTACGTGGAGGTGGGAATAGATTTATTCTGTTTGTCCCAAGAAGACATACTCAGAAATAAGTGGGAAGTTGGAAAGAGGGAGATTTATTTTTATTTCAAGAAAATTTGCCTAACAATTAGAGCTATCCAAAAATGGTATTCTTTCTACTTTCAGGCTGCCTCCGGAGGTAATGGGTTTCTCTCCTCATTGGAAGTCTTCATATAGAGGCTGGGTGTCTACTTGTTGGGTATGTTGTAGAGGGATTCAGGTTTAGGCTGGATTAGATGTCCTTTTAGGTCCCTTCCAACTCTGAGATTCTATGAATCTGTGATTCATTTTCTGCAGTTCGATTCATGGTTGACCTTTTGTTTATGTTCCTTATGAGTACTGAAGTGTGAGAAAGCCAAGTATCCCATGAAATGTTATTAATTGTGTTTGAATACCTAGTAGAACTAGTTCCATTAGCTTCCTTATTTGTGTCTACAGTGAGAGCCTTTGAGTCCTACTTTTTATTTTCTTTCAACTTTTTTATGTTTTTTTGGTTTTATTCACATAACATAAATGTCAACATTCTTGCGATTCAATTTCCTCCACTAGAATGTGAACTAACTTAGTGTTAAGATAATGTTTATAGGAGGTCTAAAAGCTTTGAATTTAGCACCGTCTGCTACCTTATCCCCTCCTGGCCGAGTAAATGGAAGCTGTTATCTTTTATTCCTACTACATGACCAGACCCAAATGTCTTTGATTTTGTAGTCATACACATCTTTGGTGGTTTTTCACCACTTCTTGTACTCAAGTCATCATTGGTAATAATGTTGAAGTCTGCTTAAGTGCAGCATGTGTTATACCAGTTATACCACTTTCTATTGCACTAATTATTCTGGTTGCATGGGGATCCACAATTCATTGTCACAGAAACTACTCCTATGGACCTGTGAGAATCATTGATTAGAGAGTTCTCTCCTTTGATGCAGATAGCCCATCCATGGCTGCGTACCTCTTGTCCATGTCCAGAAAATTCTCAACACGTCCATCCTTTGACCCAGCAGTGCAGGAGGCGTGCCTCACTTTCTCCTAACATTGGATTCCTGCCAGTGGAGCACTTCAGCCTTCTCCCTGTCATACTTTACTCTCTCCATGTGACCAGCCTATCTTCTCTTTCTGTCATACAGTTTCTTGATGGCATCTTTCATTTTGGTTCTTCTTTTGGAATTCCTCATTGCTTATATTTTGCATCTTGCTCACAGCTACCACATACTTTTCTTTCTGGGTCATAAAATCACCGTGAGACCATTGATATTGGCAAGATAAGTTTTTTTGCAATACAGAGCAGCTTGGGTTCATTGAAGGCAATGAGCATTTTCCCAAATGTAATACAGGCAGCCCTCTTCCTAGTTAATTCAGTCCAGTTCAGCAAGCATTTGTTAAGTACCTGCTGTACTAGAAGATCTCTTCCAGTTCCACGATTTTATGGTTTTGTTGCACGCAGTACTGCTCTTAACTCTTTCTCAGGGAGAAATCGTCATTTTCTTCCTGTAGGTACTTTTGCTTTTCTCCATAGCTGATAGGCCAAGGAAGTAAATCCCCCATGTTTCCCCTATGGTCCTTCTCAGACTCCTGTAACCCAAATCATCTTCAGTTAATCAATAAGCATTTATTAAATACCTGGAGTACCTACCAAGAGATATATAGTAATGGGCTAACTCAAAATATTTTCCGTATAATTCCATGCCATAATCTAGGCATTATGATTTGGTTTTTCTTGTGTGAATTGTTATGCCAATCTATTTGGTGTGGCTGTGGATTTTATTAGAGTCTTTTTAGTTACTCTAGGGCTGAATGTAGTCAGGACAGTGTTTTCTGTGAATAGGAGCACTTAAATGATCTCATTGTGTAGGGATACCCTCTTTTAGGGAAGGAAGGAAACAAGCTTTTACTAAGTGCAAATATCATCTCATTTGATCTTTTCAGTTGGACTTTATACAGAACATCATTCATGATGGTGGTGAGCACCTGGCAAACATGTTTCTATGTTATACTATACTTAATGTATTGATTGGAGGATTATCAAAGAAAGTAATACTTGTGATTGCATCAATCAAGATATTCTGGTATTTTAACATGCACGAGATATTGAAAGAACCCTTTTAAAGCTGTGTTTACCGTGTCAGTTTTTTTTTTAAATTACAATAAATACAGTGAGATCTTATGTTCACACATTAGTCAGTTTTGTGACTGAAAATATGGTGAACTGTCTGAAAGCCTGCCTGTTCCTTTCCCATGTTTTTTATCAAGAGATACATACATGAAGAATTTTCAAAGAATTCATTGTTATCTTAGTCACTTTTTTGGGTACTAATACTATCTGTGATGTAGTAGAAAGAGTGCTGGACAGTCTGACAGGACCCAGATTTACATCCTTCCTGGTACACCTGTGAGTTGTATGCCTATAGACAGGTCACCTAGCTGCTCTAATACTTCACTATGAAATACAGATGATGGTATTCATCTTACAAAGTTGTGAGAATCAAATCAGATGGTGTTGAAGTGCTTTGTAAATCTTTAAGCCCCACATAAATGCCAGCTATAATTTTCAATTCCTTTGAATTTTCCCCTTTTTTGTATAGCTTGAAATTCAGTTCTCTGTTCACAGAATTCACAATTTCATATATGATTTTTTTTTCTGGTTTAATAATAATAATATATTTATTTGGTGAAAGTAATTTAAGGAAAAAAAGAAATTCAGTACCCTGTGTTCCTTTAAAATTCTGTATATTTGCAGATCTCTTTTCAGTTTTATCTATAAAAGCTCCAAAGTTGACCCTGACTTAAGTTGCATTTCATTTCTCTTGCCTATTTTTTACTCCTTTGTGAGGTGATAGTTTTTATAATTTTCCATCTGTCTGTGAATTACTGCACATGATCCTATATTGTTCTTGTCTTTCATATCTCTTCATTTGCAAGGAGATAAAGTATTTGTCAGATAAGGTAGTTTCTGTGTTCTTTTGGTCTTTTTATGGTGATTGTTTTGCACTATTTAACTTCTCTAAGAAATGGTAATAAACAAAGGCAGAAGTCTTTACTTTGATCAATTTCCTTTTATCAGATCATTTTTGACATTTCAAGGTTAAATTAATAATGGACCAGTAGTTTCTCTTTTGAAATTAGTATTTGAACTTCTGTGGGATTTTACATTGATGAGTATCTATGGATGAGCTATATTAGAATGTAGATGATTAATTTTAGAGGGCTCCATACTTGTCCCTGTTCTGTTTAACATTTTGTCAAATGACTTAGATGCATATCAGATTTGTAGACGACACAAAGCCAAGAGCTATAACACATTGGTTGACAGTCAGGATTCAAAAGGATCCTAACAGTTAAGAATATTTAACTAAATTGAATAACATAAAATTTAATAAGGATAAATATGAAATCACATACATTTTTGTGTTCAGAAAGTTGCGGCCCCAAGTATAGCCAATCAACAAGTATTAAGCGCCTGCTATGTTCCACTTGCTGTGAAGCAGTTCCTATTCTCAAAGAGTTTATATTGTCACAAGATGATAGAAGTGTGGCTAGAGAATAGTTTGTCTGAAAGAGATCTGGAGATTGTAGTGGACTGCAAGCTTAGTGTGATACTGCAGCCAAGAGTGCCTTAGCGTGGCTGCATTAAGAAAAGGAATAGTATCTGGGACTAGGAAGGTGATGGTCCTGCTATACTGTTCCATGGTCTGACAATATCTGTAGGATTGTTGTACAGTTCTGGATGCCATTTTTTATGGAAGACATAGATAAAGTTGGAGAGTGTTCAGAGAAGGGCAGCTAGAATAATATAAGGCCTTGAGCTCATGCCACTGAGAGATGAAGGAAGAAGGGATGCTTAGCCTGTAAAAAGAAGCCTACAAGGATGGGGGTGGAAGGTAGAGATTGGCAGCCATGTATTATAGCTGTCTTAAAGTATCTGATGGACTGTCACATTGAAGAGAAGTTAGGCTTGCTTTAATTGGCTCCAGAGGGCAGGCTTAGAAGCAATGGACAGAAGTTGCAAAATGCTTAGTTTTAGGTTTATTTTGGAAAGACTAATAAGAATAAGAGCTGTCTCAAAGTAGAAGGGGCCACCTTAACGTAGATTGAGTTCTCTTTCACAGGAAGTCTTCAGGGAAAAGCTAGGTGACCATGAGTTGGTGTGTGGTATGGATTGGATTAGGTGGTTACTGACATCCTTCTAATTATGAGATTCTGTGACTGTTTTATCTCTGCCTTTCAGATTAATAATGATAATGGTAATAACATACAGCTAATATTATATACTACTTTAAGGATTGCCAAGCACTTTACATATATTAATCTCATTTTTAAAATAACCCTGTAAGATAGGTGCTGCTATTCCCATTTTATAAATGAGGCAGCTGAGCTTAAGAGAGCTTAAGTGACTTGCTCAGAGAGAGTCATACAATTAGTAAGTGTCTGAGGCAGGATATGAATTAAGGCTTTACCAACTCCGAAGTCCTGTATTCTGTCTGCGATGCTCTCTAGTACTGTTCTATCTACTGCTTATTTAACTCAGTTTCTCCTAGCACTTCCTCAAAGATAACAGAGGGAGAATTTTTAAAGTCATAGTCCTTTAGGAAAAAATAGAAAATTAAACTTGAATTTCACCTCATGTTATTAGTATTTTCAAGTTTCTCCATCCATGAACAGAGTTAGTGAAACAGTAACAAGGTTTCATAAGGATATTCCAAAACTCATCTTGTTTATTTACAGATCCAGGTCTCGAGAGCATCGTAGACATCGATCTCGCTCCACATCACGAGAACGAAAGAGAAGAACTAGATCCAAGTCCCGTGAGAAACGCCATCGTCACAGGTCACGCTCCAGCAGCCGGAGCCGAAGCCGCAGCCACCAGAGAAGCCGGCATAGCTCCAGAGACCGGAGCAGAGAGCGATCCAAAAGAAGGTATTAGTCTAACAACAAAATTGCCTTACACTCAGTGTGAAGTTAGAATTTTATTAGCTTAGTAAATAATGGATATGAAAGAATACATTTCAAAGATAGCCACATTTTTTCTTTAAATCACAAAATCATTTGGATTAAAATCACACCTGATATAAACAGAATGCAATTATTTGCTGTTATTTTCTGATCACAAAAACTTTATTTTCTGGATAAAATTTTACTTGTAAGCGATATACAGTTGTTAATTCTTCTTTAGAATAATAACCTTTCTGTTTTTGTTATTACTGGAGGCACCTTAAAGAAACACTTTATAAAACACTGTAAGGGATGCAAAAGAAAAAAGGCACAATTCCTATCTTCCAGGAGGACAGCACAAAAGGAGGAATAGATCATGTAACATCAGTAGATACACATTATTAATTGATATCATTTGCACTGTATGTTTGCTTAAGGGACATAACAAAAGAATGATTAAATGGTTCAGGTTAATCAGAAAATGATCCTTGGTTTTTGAGACCACTTTTGAAATGATGAGAGGCATGAATTAGCAAAAAGGAAAAGAGGATGAATTAAGTGAATCTTAATTTGAGTTGAGTAACTTGTTATTTTGTGTATTAAGAAATAAAAATTATAAAACCATGGGAAGTAGTTGTGGACCAGAATGAGGATTTTGAAATTGGTGTAATAGAGGCAGTAGGGACTTAGCATCTATCATCTGTTTATCCATGCATGCATGCGTACAAACAAACCACGCGTAATTTTGTGTTTGTGTGTATCCTTCATTTTTATATTATGTTTATTTATATGGTATATTTATTATATATGTGAGATATATATTTATGTTATATATGCACCAGAACATTGGAAGGTAGTTTTTTAGCTATAACTAGGATGGATTAGAGTGATGAGGACAGAAATCAGCAGCTAGGAAGCAGCTGTTTTGGTTGAGGACCTAGATTAGTATGTGCCTCTGCAAAGAAGGGAAATAAATAAAAGCACATTTGAGAGGATATAGGGAAGGGATAGGTATGAATTAGCCATTGAGGGTAAATGGAATGACAGAGGGTGGGATAGAAGTAGAGAGAAAAATTTGAAATTTAATTGAAACTTTTGAGCATGGTGGTACTGTTGATGATAAAGGGAGTCTGTAACAATCTTGGATTTCAGTATATCAGTCTATATAAGATGCCATGAAGACAACAGAAAATATGAGCAAGAATGGTGCAAGAACTTGAACAAAATATACAGATTTAGGGGTTACACCTTCAGAATATCATTGAAACTAAGAGATGATATGAGGGTAAAAAAAATTTATTTTGGACAAAACTAAAAAAAAAAAGTTATCTGCATAGTAGCCATATTCTCTCCAACTTTACTTCATCTCATGAGAAGTACTCAGTCATTGGGCTGGACAGCTAAAAAGAATACAAAATTATGTATAATTTGAGAGAAAAAAGAGAACACCCCTCCCAGTTTATAATAAAAAGAATTCTTAGACTTAGTTTAATGTGATATGAGAAGAAAATGGCTTAAGTTCTTGGTTATAAGTCAAAAGTGTATTGTGATGATATAAACTGGATTTCCCCACACCACCTTTTAAGAACAGTGAAGTTTAAGAACAGCCTCAACCAAAAATCCATAGGTGCTTCGTGGTAGCATCAGTTCTTGAAAGTTATGCCAGTGGAGCACAAGCTCTCATAATCCTGCCAGACTGGAGAGAAGCTGCTTTGAATATGGCCCAGTGATACATTCGTTATACATCAGTTTTCTAAGGTGAGGTTTTCCTGTGTGACCAGAAGTTGATAAATCTTTCACCTGCAGCAAGATGGCCATTATCTAGACTGATAACAGATTCTTGAAATATTGAAGAAATATGTGATAGGAATTTGTTCAGTTTTTAGGAACAGACTTGACAGGATAGAATTAGGGTCTTAGGAATGCAAGAAAACCCTGAAGAGCAGGGGAAATGCTTTAGGAGAAAGGCTTTTAGCATGGTGTCTATGAACTTGTTCTTTAAAATATTGTGATAGCTATGTTTTAATATAATTGTTTTCCTTTATAATCCTATGTATTTAATTTTCTTCCATGCATTTAAAAACGTTTTGAAAAGTTGTCCATAGGCTTAAGCAGATTACCCAAAAGGCCTATGTTACAAAAAAAGTTTAAGAACTTCCCACTTTAGGGTGAAATTACAGGAGAGATCTATTGATGTTTGTTTTTGTAAAAGGATTTTCGGTGCCAGAACTAAGTGTGTAGGACATGAGGTGTTACAGAATAGGACTTTAATACTTAGCACAAATTAGCCAGGCTCTCCTCAAAGATATCTGGGGCCATGTAGTTAACTGCATAGATCCTGGAACAAAATCAGACTTTATTTCATGGAGCCAACACTAAGTTAAAAAGTATTCTAGCCAATCAGTATCTTTAAAACTGTATATCTATATATCTATATATGTACATACATTTTTTTTGTGAGACAATCAGGGTTAAATGACTTGCCCAGGGTCACACAGCTGGTGAGTATCATATCATATCTGAGGTCAGATTTGAACTCAGGTCCTCCAGGGCCGGTGCTCTATCCACTGTGCCACCTCGCTGCCCCTTTTACTACTATTCTTGAAGGGAGGTTTGTCTGGGTGTCTAAAGAAGAAACAGTTTACCATATATGTAATATGTACTTTCTGCCCTGCAAAATAAAGTCTTTGTATACAAGGCTTTGGAAATTTTTCCATTTGACTTTAACTTTCATCCAGTCTTCTCCATTTCTTAGAACTACACATAAAGCTACACATTTGTTTTATTTGCTCACACGTATAGTCAATAAGTTCATAATTATTGAATGCATGGGTATTATGGATATATAAGAGAAATAGGAAATGTAATTCTCTTGAAAGAATTAATGTTTGCTTAAGGGAATAAGACTAGCATATAAAACTTATAATTATGAAAACCATACAAAATTAATTATATCTTCCCCCCCCCAAGAGAAAGAAATTATCATTTGCAAAGTACTTGAGGAAAATCTCTACAAATAAGTTGGAGTTAAACAAAATAGCTTAAGAATGCCATAAGTACAGAGAAGGAAGAAGGCATTCTTGGGGGTGGGTGAAATTACATGAGCAAAAGCAAGTAAAAATGGGCGTAGCATTTCTAGAGGACCATGTGCAGGTAGATATGCCTGATTAAGTAAAGGATTTTTCTTTTTTTTCTTCTTTTCTTTTTTTTTGGGGGGGGGTTGTTAAACTGATGCTTTTAAAAAAAAATCACTGTCATTCATGACCTTTCTCATCTTCCTCCTTACTCTTCCCTGCCCTTATAAACCTTTAGTCAGATAACACAAATCAGTACATGAGGTCTATGTGGATGACTCCTTCCAGACCTCTACTCCATTCTGCTGAGAGGTGGAGGCATGTACCATCAAACTTCTGACACCTTTCAGAGCCATTTCAAGTTCTTGGCTACTATGATATGTTGTGGTATGATTTTTGTATATATGACACCTTTTGGAAGGCTTATGTTGGGGAATAGTGAGAATTTAGAGTTGATATGCAAGGTCAAGCCATAGAAACCATGGAGGCTTTGAAAGGTTCTTCTCATTTTCCTGTCTTCCATAGTTCCTTTAGGTTTATGATAACTCAGGATGTCTGTGCTATTTATTTGCTGTTTCACTTTATTTTAAAAATACTAGTCCTCTGGGATTTGTTGCTTTTCAATTCCTCAAAACCATCTGTTTTTCTGATGTAATCTCCCAGATATTGGAAGTGAGTTTAAAGATAGTTAAATTAATTCCCTTCTCTGTTTTGGACAAAGTAAATTAATCTGTGATTAACTGGACTTTTCAAAGAATGCTATTTTAGATAAAATTTAAATTGTTTTGCTTCATCACTCAATGAATAGCTTTCAAAAAATGCACTGGTACTCTTTTGTGCTTTAGTAAGAAGATATTAAACATAATTTATAATTGTTTAATCTTTCCTTGATATAGAATCTCAAAAACACCTCAGTATTATCATTCTGTACATTTTCTATCCTACAGGATAGGTATTGGGATTATGAGTCTGCCATTTATTAGCTGTATGATATATGTGGGGGGGGTTATTTGTCTTATTTTTGTTTTTCTTTAAATCTCAACGAATTTTGATCCTGGCTTCTTTTTCCTTACCGTTTCCTCTTGAATTTTACAGACAAGATGGCAGCAGCGTTTCATTGATCATTAAGGTGGTAGCGTGACAAAGTTTTATTTTAAGGTTTCTTTTTAAGCTGTGACATATCATTGCTAGACTTTTTCTAGAGAATTTTCAAAGGAGGGAAACCAGGATAATAATTAAAATGATGAAGGCCCTTGAGTTCATACATTATGAGCGTAAGTCAAAGAACTGAGGTGTATATCTTGAAGAAGAAAAGACTTAGGGGGAATCATGATACTTATTTTTTAGGAGGAATCATGATAAGTATTTGAAGGACACTTCTGTGGAAGATGAATTAGCACCAGAAGGCCGGAGTAGCAGTAGTGGATAGAAGTTATAAAAGAGGCAAATTTAAATTTAGGTTTCATATAAGAAGTTACTAGTGATTATTAGTAATCAGTAGTAATTATTATTATCACTAATGCTTTAATGGTTAGAACTTCCCAAAAGTGGCATGTGCTGCTTTAGGTAGTAAGAGGGTTCTCTTGCCCTGGAGTTACTCAAGTAAAAGCTAGAAAACCACTTACTTTTGTCAGGTATTTGGGGAGGGGGTAGGGTTCTGATTTGTACATCATTTGAGGTAGATATTTGGCCTTTGAGGTACCTTTGAGATTCTAAAAACATGTATGTCTTATATCCATGTTCTTATTAAGACTGTTACTCATCTAGCTAAGTCAGAAAAAATAATTTTCTTCTTAACTGTAAAGGTTTTGTATTTAAACCCTCCTACCTATTAAAGTAGCCAGCTTCTTTCCAGTCCCCAAAATCTGTCTTACTCTGGGCCTTGTATTTCATTTTCTAGGTTAACAATCCACTTCTTTGGAGTTGATCTACCTTGTTGTAGTGACATTTTTTGGTAGAGTTTTTAGTTATATAGTGTGCTGAGAGTGAGCACGAATGCCTAATATGTTTGGTACAGAAACTAGAATTGAAATTTTCTTCTGTTTCTTAATTTGCAAAATTATGTGGCACTAAAACTAATGTGGTGTTGAATTGTTCAACCTAAATTTGTTGCTTAACAAATGTTACTTATATTTGCAGATTTGTTTTTCTGAGTCATCCTTATATCATCCTGTTGTATTATATTATCCACAGCAGAATTCTGTTCTTTCTGATAAGTGTTTTTATTGCTATATTCCCTCTGTGTTGATTCTCATACTAATTGCTTGTACAAATCCTTATTCTTTTATTTGTGATTCTGGGCTGCTTCTATTTAGCATGTCAAATTTAGGTTCTCAAATAATGTTTTTCAGATCCTCAAAAGAAAGGTCTTCTGGAGATAAAGAGCGGTCATTAAGAGACCAAGACCTAACATCACGGGACAAAGATAGAAGTTCCAGAGAGCGGTCACCTCGTGACAGAGAGAGAAAAGATAAGAAACGTTCCTATGAGAGTGCTAATGGCCGCTCAGAAGACCGGAGGAGCTCTGAAGAGCGTGAAGCCGGGGAGATTTAACAGGCTCTACATTTCCTCAATCCTTAAGCTTCCTATGGAGTTACATACTATTGTTTAGTTTACAGCTGTTCAAGGCGACCCAGCCGTTCCAGACACCAATCCAACTAGGCTAGATGTACAGTATCTAGAGTTTGGCTATAACTCAATCTGAACTCACCGTCTTTTCCTGGATGAAGTCTAAAATTGCATCCATAATTTCTGGTGAACCCTAATACAATTCTGAAAGGTTATTCTGTTCACAAGTGCAGTTTTATGTAGTAAAATGCAGATCTCTATGTTTTATTTTCAGTAGAAGTTAGAGTGAACAAATTGTGTTACTTGCCTTGGGCTTTCTTGAACATTTGTAAAATCCTTCTTTTCTAGTCCAAATAGCAGCAGCTTTGGGAGTCTTGTTTTGATTTCTTCCCCTACCCTTCTGTCCTACCTTTGCACCTGCCATCCCAGATTGCAAAGTGGGACAGGAATTGAAGGGGCCATATAACTCGGGTTAGAAACTTTTCTGTTCCCACCGATTGATTACCAGTTGGTTACATTTCGGAGCATTTATTGCTGGGGTGTGTGTTCTGGAGGAAATGGAAATGTTTATTTCTTTTTTCCCTTTTTTAAAACAGTGCCTATTTAGATTTGGAAGTTGAACAGCTGTTGCATTACACCTTTTGCATTTTTATTGAAATTTTGAAATCAAACCTTGTCTTGATTTTTCTGTTACATTGAGTTGCTATGTTCAGGTTGTTGGGGGGATTCTTCCTTAAGCACTTCTTGCCTTTATTTTTTCTTGTGGAGTGTAAAGGCTACACCTCTTAATTGTTTTAAAAAAAAAAAGATAATAAAATGAAAACAGCAATCACCACCACCACCATTACCACCATCACATCACATCACCATCACCATCACCATCAAACAGCCTACATTGTTCAGTAAGTTGTCACTTGGCACTTAATCCTGTGGACATTCCTCACCTTTGTCTTTCATTGATAATTCCTTTCTATGTAAGACACAAAAGATGTAAGGAAACACTTGCAAAAATTCTGAACTCTGGGCATAACTGTTTGACCCAGGCCATCTATACTGCTTGTATTCAGCTATCCAAGTTTATAATTTCTGCCACAAGGAGGGACTTGGACCTGCTAGAAGAAATGATCTGATTCTTCTGTTTATTGGGCAGTACAAAATGAAATAAAAATATGGTGTAAACAAAGCAATGAGAGGAACAGTATTTGGTTAGTAAGAGTTGATTTTAAACCCAATAAGGTGTTGAAAGATGGTAGGAAAACAATACTTGAGTATAGAAATCCATAACACACTTTTATCCACTGAAAATTGTTTTCCGTTTCATGTAACCAACTGAGATGTCAGTTTTCCAGAGATGAGTCTGGAGTTGCAAGAACTCCATAGAGAGCAGGTTTCTAAAAAGGAATATTTTAGTTGAATAACACTGAATTTAGATCTAAAAGGAATTGAAGTCTAAGTGCCAGTCTTACAGATAATGGCCCTGTTTGCTGAAGGGCCTCTGTTTTCTTCTTTTTTTGCCTGTCTTTGCCAGTCTCCTTTGTTAAGATGTTGTTGCTTTTGTTGCTTGACTGTATCATCATCTGGAAAGCAGAAGGATAGGGACCGTTAAGATGCAAGATACAGATCTAGAGCATAGGGTAGAGAAAACGTCAAGTTGAGAGAGAAGATAGACTGTGTGTGTATAGGTGCCCAGTATTGGCAAGGTATTGAAAAATACCGCACAGTAATCCTAAGTTTAGAGCAGACTGTTGGGGATCACTCAGATGGCTAAAACCCTTAATGCTTGTTTCTTTGCTGCATCACTGCCTGTTTTATAGTAGGCAGTGATTTTAAATTTGTGATCTTACAGGAGCTAGGTAATACATCTGTGAGTGCTCTTTCAGTGAGGAAGTTACGTCCTGGGAATCAGAATCCACAGATCTTCAACATGTGAGTGATTGGAAGATGCATGGTTCCTACCTTCAGGTGGGTGAATGCTTCAGCCACGCAGAACACATCTTTTAACTACTGACCTCTTCTTGGATAACTTTTGTTACTAAGACCTTGCAACTTCCTTAGCAAAATTCAGTATTTTATCCCTGTTTTTAAAAAAAAATACTATTATTATAAACTTTGTAGCCAACAAAAGTGAACACTCTTGGTATTTACTATGTTAAACTGAAATTTCACCTGAATCAGCTTAAATCCATTGTTTTAAGTCCCTCAATGACCATAGAAGAGCAACTTAAAATGATTCATATGAACCCATACTGTTAAAAACAATAGACCACAGTGCTAACCAATTCACAGTAGCCTTGGGCACTTTGAGAAGGGCATTAATTCTTTTAGGCCATTAGAAAACCAAATAGCAAATTACTGGATAGCTTAACCCTTGCTGACTCAAAGCAAGGCCATTCTAGGTTAGATGATGTTGTGAATGAAAGAATATCTATGTTAAATATATTAACCCAATAACATGGCCTGGGTTAAACAGTATGTGAAGGCTAGGTCTCTCCTGTGGTATAGTTGTGTAATTGACTTTAAGTATTAAGTTTCATCCTTCAGTCCATCATTCCAGTCTGTCACATTTTTTTGGGTTCTGATTCTGACATCAAATATCCTGCCTAGCATTAGGATTGTATGTGAAAGACATCGCAGTTTTAAGAAAAATATGCTCAGTTCTTTCTCTCCTCAAGTGAAGATAACTCAGGAAAACATTGCCACTGCTGAAACTTCAACTAAGGTGTAGCACTGGCTATCAGTATTGGGATTTGTAGAGAGATAAGAGGGGAAAACAAGGAGGCATTAGGATTTCAAGGGGCCAGCCAGAGCATTCTGGTGGGGTTGCTAAATTTTAGTGTTAGACTAGGGGCACTGCCATTGGGTAAGCGAAGTAGGAAGGCATTTGAGTGCCATGTTGATTGGAAGGAGTAGACACCAAAGGACACAGTGGGTTTCCATTAAGCAGGTCTGAAGCAGAATGTCGGAATTCCAGGGAGTAGAAAGCAGTCACATAGCTGGTGTCCAGTGGGGCAGGTTTGGAATTGGGGAGAGGGCGGTGTAGTCGGTGTTAGGCAGTGTAATCAATCAACACAAGCCCGGGGTGTATGTGTGTGTGGGGGGTATTAATGTGAAAGATGTTAGGCAGTGGAAACCTAGGTAGAGAACTTTCCCTTAACTCCTTAAAGGATTGATTGGGCCACACAGAATTTGACACCCGGATACAGGCTTCTGTGGCTACAGGTTAAAACCCTGGTAGAAACTTAATACGGAACCAGACCCTACAATACTAGGCAGATATAAAAGAGGAGCAGAGTGAGGATAGGAATTCAGGCCACAAGAGACTAGATAACCATTGGGAGAATGGGTAAGGCCAATAGCAAGACCATTTTGAACTTGATCTGAAGTCAGTTTAAACAATTCTGTTTCTTACTCAGAGGCCAGGTAATAGCTCAGGCAAGGAAGTCCTGAGTAGAGGAATGAATGTCTGGTAGGGGACCCAGACTTTCTCCACTACATGGAAGCCTAGGATTACAGCATTTCTTTTCCCTGGTTCAAAGACTAAGGGAGATTTGGAACCCAATGTTTTTGACTAGAGCTGGTCACCAAAAGTCACAGAAATGAGGAGTTAACATCCATGGAGACTACTCATCTGAAAAAAAAAAAAAAGGTTTCCCTTGTGTGTAAGCATCAATCAGCAAAGGAGAATGGAGGTCGGACCACAGGGTCAGGTGCATTCCCTGGGCTTCCCACATCCTGATAACAAGGAGAGTGAAGTGGAAGACTCTACTGATCCCGAATTTAAATGCCAACTCTGCTATCTATATATCTCTACTACCTGTAGGACCATGGATGTCACTTAACCTCCTTGGGCCTTGTTCTGCATTTCCTCTAAAGCCCCAGTTCTAACTTTATAAGCTTATTGCCCTATGACATGTTAGTTGGAGTTTTTAAAAGCTTGTGCCAATGTTTCGTGATATAAAGGGGAAGAGAAACTTTCCTAGGACAAGTCTACCAAATTGGGGGAGGGGGAGAGTTTTGGGGGCTTTTCCTTTAACCTTTTATATCCGTGTTGGGTACCTGCTATGTTCCAGGCTGGGAAAAGAGACTTTCTGGCTCCCTCATCCCAACTCACTTGGGATCTCCACAGAGATTGCACCAGCTGGGACATTCTCATGAGGACCTATCAGATTTGATACAGTTGGCAAAGGGGGAGACAGCACCTTCCTCATTTGTCCCAATCCAACAGTCTCTACCACCACAATTCTTTTTCTCCTTTGCAGTGCATTAAAGAAACTACTCCTGGAGTAACAGACTAGAGGGCACCTACTATCTAAAGCTTATCATGTTTTTTGCAGGTTTCAGAGAGGTTTAGTAATCTTGCATGGTTTTATATGTTTGACTACCCAACATGACCAGGCAGTGGACTCTGACTCCATGAGTTCCCATTTTGTGATTGCTTCCATATTTCTCAGAATCCTAGAGTTGGTAGGGATCTTCAGTCATAGCAAGAGGCTTCACTGGAAGCCCAGACTTCTCAAGCATGTTTGATTTTTGGAGCAAGAAATAGCATTTTCCCCTACAGTATATAGCCAGGCTTCTTGGCATAGCTCAAGGAAAATATAAAATTTTATAAAGGCCTTCTACACCAACCCACTGGACCTCAGTTTCCTCATTTGCAAAATGAAAGGATTAAACTAAATATGGTCTTTTTGGTCCTAAGTTCCATGATCCTCTCATTTTACAAATGTGGTTAATAGGTTTGGAAGAGAGAGATCTTGATGAGGAAACTCAGGCCCGGAAAAGATAGATGACTTACCCAGGGTGACAAGGCTGGCAGAGCTAGAACTAAAATTCCATTAATTTTTTTTTCTTAGTAGATGGTTATGTTACATAATCAACTACGAAAATCAACCATACCATGTATGGAATTTACATTTGAAACCCAATAAACTTACAATAAAGTGACATTAAGCAATAGCGTTTATATGTGTGCGTATGAGTGTTATGCAGTGAACATAGTTCATATGAACATTGCAATTGACATTGTTTTTATTCAGCTGAATCAAATCTTTTATTTTTTTTTTCTTCTCACCTTGTTAATTCTTTAGTGATCTATGTGTCAATGCCAGCATGTTTATGAGATCATAGCTCAACAGGGACCTCGGACACAATTCAAGCCCCTTAGTTTAAAATTAAGGAACCACTTTTCCTGATACTGTTATGCTATTACCTTACACAACACCACCTTCAATTCTGGATCTCACTGACTGGAAGGATGCCTCAGAAGTCAAGCTCATTCAGTCTTCCCATTTTACAAATGAGGGAAACTAAGGCCCAAAGAGATTCAGCAGCTTGTCAGAGGTTATGTAGCTTTCCTTAGCGAGGATTTCCTCGTTCCCCACCCAAGAGCTGAGGTTTCCTGCGCTCGTTAGCTTCCACCCCAACAATTCTATCCCCCACATACGGGTTCCTTTGAGGGATCCTTGAATAGTGCCTTTTTCTTACCTAGGGCTGGCTACGATGGGGAATTTGGGCTATGAATCTATGGATTGCCTATTGGAGACTGAAAGTATGATCACTCTTATCTGGACTGGGCTGTAGGGATGTCTAGGTCAAGAGCAGTGGCTCTTCACAAAATCCCAAAGTTGAAGGGAACAACACAAAGACCACTTCCTTTTTCATCCTGAATCAGAGCAATGATTGTTCTTCAGCTCTGCCTGAAGATTTCTAGTAAATGTGAATTCCCTACTTCCTGAAGCCATTCACATTCCACTCTTGGCTAGCCTAATTGGTAAGCAGTTTTTGCCTAGATTTGCTGCAAATTTCACCCCTTGCTGCTTCTAGTTTTAACTTCTAGGATCAAGAAAAAAGTATAATCCAGCTTCCACATGATACCTTTTGAGTATTTGAAGATAGCATTTGAGCCTCATTCCTATTCTGTGCCAAGTCTTCCCAGAGATCAACACGGTATTCCAGGTCTAGTAGTCTAATGAAGGAAGGTTTTGTTGTTTAGTCTTTGTTTTCTTGGCAAAGATACTAGAGGGGTTTACCATTTCCTTCTCCAGTGGATTAAGGCAAACCAGAGGTAAAGTGACTTAGCCAGGGTCACACAACTAGTAAGTGTCTGAGACCTAATTTGAAGTTGGTTCTTTATGACTCCAGTCCACTGAGCCACCTAGCTGCCTGCAAAGGCAGATTACAGAAAGAGTATTACTCCCTCTTTACTGGAAGCTATGCCTTGCAATGAAACCTAAAATCGAATTTACTTTCTTGGCTACCTTATCATTGAATGACTCCTACTGAGTTTTCAGTCCTTTAAAACACTAGTTGTTTTTATTGTTATTATTATGAATTGCTGTCTAACCATGCCTTCCCCTTCCCCAATTTTGTAGTTAGTTGATTCTTTTAAACCCAAGTGTAATGCTACATTTTTCTCTATCAAAATTCATCTTATTAGTTTGACCCAAAGCCTCCAGGTATTTTTGGATCCTAATTCTTAAACAGTGTATTACCTGTGACCATCTACATGGTTCCATGCCATCTACAAGTGTAAGTACGCTATCTATGCCTTTATCAGAATCATCCATAAAAAATGTTAAAGAGCACAGGGCCAAGGTACTGTCAAGGTCATCACCATCTTCCCAGTCCCTCACGGTCACATCCTAAGAGTTAGCCTGGATTCCTCACTCTTTCTCACTCCCCTTTTCCAAGCTGTTGTTTGGCCTGTCCATTTCACCTTTGCAACATCTCTCCAATAAGCCGCCTTTTCTCCTCAGACACAAGTCGGCCTGCCTCAAATCTCTCCCCACTCCAATACGTCCTCTAGTGGCCGAAGTGATTTCCCTAAAGTGAAGGTCTGACAGTGTCACATGTATCCCCTGCCCCCACCCTGATCAGTAAACGCTAGTGGCTCTATTCCAGAATCCAATGTAAAATTATCTTTTTGGCATTCAAGGCCTAGACCCCACCACCACCACCTTTGCAGTCTAATTACGTCGTCTTCTCTACCGTGACCTCTTCAATCCAGTGACACTGACCTCCTTGCTGTACCACATGTCAGTTCTGGGCATCTTCTCTGGCTGTCCCCCTCATCTCCTCTCATCTCCTGGCTTCCTGCAAATTTCAGCTAAACTCTGTCTTCTACATTTCTCCCAATCCCGTCTTAATTCTAGTGCCTTCTTTCTGCTATTTCCTATTTATTTATATAGATTGTTTGTATGTATTTGTTTACTTGTCTCCCCCATTAGACTGTGAGCTCCTTGAGGGCAGGGACTATCTTTCACCTTTTTTCTTTTTGTATCCCCAGTGCCTAGCACATAGTAGGCGCTTAATAAATCCTTATTGACTGACTGACCTCTGTGCAAGTTGATATAGAACCATTAATGGCCTCTTTTTTTAAAATTAATTTATTTTGAATTATCAACAATAACTTACATAAGCTTTTGAGTTTTAAATTTTTCTCCCCCTCTCTCCCCACCTCCCTCCCCAAGATGGCATGCAATCTGATATAGGCTATACATACACATTCCTATTAAACACTTTCACATTAATGATGTTGTAAGTAAGAATTAGAACGAATAGGAGGAACCACCAGAAAGAGGAAACAAAACACAACAGAAGAAAAAAAAATAGCAAATAGTATGCTTTGGTCTGCATTCAAATTCCATAGTTCTTTGTGGATAGCATTTTCCATCATGAGGAATGACCTCTCTTTTTTACCCAGTCATTTGGTCCACTCAGAGATAGGTGGGAGGACGTAACAATTAGACATTCTGTTTCTGGCATTTGTGAGTCTGGTGACAAGGGATGGAGAGGAAGAAGAACTAGAGAAAGTCTGACAAGTAATTAAAACCAAAACTGATTTACTTTCAGGGCTAGCCTTAATCACAACAGAATTTCAGGCAAGAAGAAGCCCCTTAAAGCTTAACTTTTATAGGAGAAAAGGCCAATATGAGGTGAAAGATTAGAGCCAGAAGAGATTTTAGGGTCCAACACCCTTATCTTCTTTGGTCATGTCTAATTCTCTGCGACCTCGTTTGGGGTTTTCTTGGCAAAGATACTGGAGTGGTTTGCCATTTCTTTTTCCAGCTCATTTTATAGATGAGGAAACTGAGGCCAATAGGGTTAAATGACTTGCCCAGGGTCATACAGTTATTGTGTGCTGTTTGTCCTTCATTCTTGAAGAGGACCATGAAATCAGGGAGGTGATGCCATGATATGCAAATGAATTGGATTTAAGTGAGGGAGGGCTGTGCAAAGTCACAACCTCACTTTCACCTCTGAAGCCATCTGGGTCTAGTGGTAAGATATATATCAGGATGACTTAAATGGCCGGCCCTCCTAGTGTCTGAGGCCAGATTCGGAAGATGAGTCTTCTTGACTCCAGGCCAGGCACAGTTTATGAACTACAGCTGTCTCTTATCTTACAAATGCAGAAACTGGAGTCCCACCTAACTTAAATGAATTGCCTAAGAGGCCACATTTAAGTTAAAAGGGGGGAATGGAACAGAAACCCCAGGTTTCTTAATCCTCAAGTTTGGTATCTCATAGAGTGTTAAGAGTTGGAGAAACAGCAGTGGCCAGTTTGTACGTGACGAGTGGTCGGGCTATAACAAATGTCGAATTGATCACACTGTTTTTGCTTGAAGACCTCGAGTGGGAAGGAAGCTCTCAGTCTCCTGAGGCCAACTGTTCTATTTTGGGATAGCACTGTTTGTTAGGAAGTTTTCCTTAGGTCAAGTCCGAATTTGTTGAAAATTAGGGTAAAACATGCAAATATCTGAAATATTTGATGTGTTGATATAAATGAGTTTCAGTCAAAGTGTAAATGATTTATTTTCTCTTGAGGTAATTGGAAAACAGGAAGGAACTAGACACCTGAGAAAGTGATATCCCCAAGGAAAAGAAGTAGAAAAGAGAAGCTAGAAACAAACTACAATTTCCCAGGACCTCTTTTATTTTTTTAAACTATATTCTCTCACTTAGTGATATCCTCATTTCCTATGGATTCAATCATCTCTATCCCAGCTGGATATATAGAGCTGGAATAGAAATGATTGAATCTATGGGAGATGAGGGGTCTTCTGAGCTGGGCAGCTAGGTGGTGCAGTGGATAGAGTGCTGGGCCTGGAGTCAGGAAGACTCGTCTTCATGAGTTCAAATTTGGCCTCAGACACTTAATAGCTTTGTGACATTGTACAAATCACTTAACCCTGTTTGCCTCAATTTCCTCCTCTGTAAAATGAACTGGAGAAGGAAATGGTAAACCACTCCTGTATTTTTACCCAGAAAACTCCAACTGGAGTTATGAAGGGTCAGACACCACTGAACACTGGGCAGTCTCCTGAGCTATAGTCCTAGATCGTCAACTGTGTTTTGAACATCTCACACTGTGTGTGCAGTATTCAAACTAAAAATATCCAAATATAACTCCTGTCCTAAATCTTCCCCTCTTCTGAACTGACCTACTATGGTCAAGGGCACCACTGCTCTCAAAGTCACCTGGGCATGCAACCTTGGTGTCATCCTCAACTCTTCTGCCTCACCGTAAGTATCCGATTTCTGGCCAAATCTTGTTTCTACCAGCGCAGGGTACTCTAGTTTGCATCTCTCCTCTCCACTTACCACATATCATGCCTCTACTTCAGCCTCTCAGTGCTTCTCACCTGGAATACCACAATGGCCTTCTAACTGATCTCCCTGCCTCATGTCTCCCCATTCCAGTCCATCTTCCACTCAGCAGCCAAGGTGATTTTCGTCAAGCTTAGGTTTCATGTTTGCCCACTCAATGATCTCCAGCTCCCTATTACTGCCAGGATTTCATTCATCATTTTAAATTCTTCATAACATGGTCCCTTCTTCCCATTCCAGTCTTACACTTTATTCCATTCTCCTCCATCTGATCCAGCTATATTTGTCTACTTGAAACCCTTCAGACATGATACTCCATCTTTATGCCTTTACCC